GAGACTTCGTCCGCGTGGAATTCTAAAATAAAATTAACCTAAGTTACCTGCTAAAAAGTTACGTCAAAATCGGTCCAGCCATTTCAGAGATTAGCCGGAACAAACAGACAGACAGACAAAAATTGTAAAAAATGTTATATTGGTGTATGTACCGTTATATTCATGTAGTAAGGAACGGTTATTTCAATATTACAAACAGACACTCTAATTGTATTTATATGTACAGATATATAGATGAGTTTACCTGAACAAATAGAATATTATCATACCTCGGAACTGTACAATTAAAACATTCGGATCTACCTGCATTATAAATATCTGCATACAAGTATTCTTTGTTCGGTTTGTCTGCATCAGGTACAAATATTGACACGGGCCGTCCTCCGGATGTAATGCAGATAAACATATATGTACATATATTTACTAGATGCGCCCGCGGTTTCATCCACGTTAAATTTCAATATAAAATAAAACCTATGTGTTATTCTGATGCATAAGCTATATTACTGTAAAGTTTCATAAAAATCAGTGTAGTAGTTTTTGCGTGATAGAGTAACAAACATCCATACTCACAACTTAAGATTAAGATCGTCGTCCTCGGTGGTTTAGCGGTTTAGCACACCGTTATACTTCCGATGGCCGCGGGTTCAATTCTAGGCATGGTACAAACTTTTGTATTCATTTGTATGATGAAATATTTGTCTGGGTATTTTCTATGTATACTTATATATATTAGTGGAATGTTGAACCCGCCTACGCTAACGGTATACGCTGGCGACGTACCAGATATATGTATGTATTTCCAAAAAAATATCTATGTATTTATATCAGTAGTCTAGTACCCATAACACAAGCTCTGCTTAACTTGGGACTAGATGTATATATTAAAGCAGTTTAAAATTGAATGAACAAAAACTGCGAAATATAAAACCTTTGTGTCAGACATTACTCAAATTCAAATTCATAATATCTTTATTCATGTAGGTCTATTACAGACTCTTATGATACGTCAAATCTACCGTCAGTTCGGAATGATTTCGAGATGAGAACAACTGACAAGAAACTCAGCTCGTATTCTTTTCAAATTAATGTTATACATGTTTACAATAATACAGATTCATTTTTAAATTCAAATTTGGGAGAATAGAGTGACCACCAGCATATGCTGACTATTCCGAATTCGCCATTAAAACGGTTAAAACTGCAACAGTAGCAGGTCCTTTGTTAAACACTAAAAACGGTCAGACGGTAATCTAAATCGCACAGAAAAATAGCCGGGGGCCGAGGCTTGTATCAAAGTGGGGCTCCTCTTACAGAGATGTCGCAGATAGAACCTTTGCCAGCATTGAGCGGCCAGTTAACATTCAGAAAGACGCCACGGGCCGGAGGCGCGATAAAATCGCAATGTGCGCTGACAGATGTGACATACAGACACGCAACTCTGTTACGTGTATTATATATAGTACATAGAAAAGAAACAAATTACCTGTATAATATATAGTACATAGAAAAGACTTAGGTGAATACAAACCATCATCTTATGAATACAAATGTTCGCAACGTGGAGTGGAGGAATCGAACCTGCGACCATTGGGAGTAAAACTGTTCTAAACTGCTAGATCGTCTAGGCTGTTAAATATATATATGTATCTACTAATATTATAAAGCTCAAGAGTTTGTTTGTTTGTTTGAACGCGCTAATCTCAGGAACTACTGGTTCGAATTGAAAAATTCTTTTTGTGTTGGATAGTCCATTTGTCAAGGAAGGTTTTAAGGTATATAACATTACGATACGACCAATAGGAGCGGAGCTGCAATGAAAAATATTGCAAAAGGTGGGGAAATGAAACGCAGACCGAGTTGCACGATTCAGCTAGTAATATATAAACTTTCTCAAGCATGGTAAAAATTTTATTTCTTTTCAACAGAGAGGTTTCTGATATTACTGCATTCAAACAAACTATCGTGTCCTATACATTAGCATTATGATAATTTATAACTAAATAACATAACTTAAGTTTTTAAATAAATTAGATTGACGACCTCGGTGGTCTAACGGTCTAGTGTGTAAATACAAACCACCAATTAGCACTAATTCAATTTACGAATATATAACCGATGGTCGCAATTAATAAGAGGTTCGATTCCTCGCACGGCACAAACATTTGTATTCATGAGTATGATTGTTTGTATCAGTCTGGGTGTTTTCTAAGTATAATATGTATGTATTTACAAAAAAAAAATATCTATGTATATGTATCAGTTATCTAGTACCCATAACACAAGCTTTAACTAGCTTAACTTGGGTCTTAATTGTCCTGAGATTATTATTATTATTTGATGTCACCCATTCTTTGCAACTGTATATCACAGTTATATAGATTCAACCAACAGACGGAAACATTTGAAGGTAAATCAGGAATAAGGTTCATTACGGCATGAACCGACCGACTAGCACAATGCTCTTAAAAGTCGATAATCAATCAAATGAACAATAAATATATAATATGTAACACCAGATAAATTGTATTTTTTTTTTTACACTTTTATACACCAGGTAGTAAAAGTCGATAATCAATCAAATGAACATTAAATATATAATATGTAATATTTTACCAGCTAAATTGTATTTTTTTTTACACTTTTTTTACACCAGTTAGCAAAAATGACGATTTTCATAGAAACTGTCATCCCCACTTTCAATTTCTTTCAACCCTTACTTTGCATTATAGCAGCCTGTTTCCTTACAATTGTATATATATAAAACTAGCTTAATTTATCCCCTTAGGGGTGGAATGATCAAAATCCTTTCTTAGGGAATGCCTACGTCATAACATCTACTTGCATGCCAAATTTCAGCCCGATCCGTCCAGTGGTTTGGGCTGTGCGTTGATAGATCACTATGTCAGTCACCTTTCAGTTATATATATATGTATATAATAAATCTTAATAGTAATAATGACAACTGACACAAATACATATTTTTTTTTTATAAATACATACATATTATAAATAGAAACACCCAGACCGTTACAAACAATCGTACTCATGAATACTAATGTTTGTGCCGTGCAAGGAATAGAACGCGCGACCGTCAAAATTAAAGCGATGTGCCAAACCACAAAACTACCGAGTTCGAGGCAGTAAATATAGAATAAATTGGATTGTTATGTATAAATATACATAATTATTAAAACTATTGTATGCCATAACAGCTGATCACCATCTTAACAGTGTTGCCATAAAAATAACATACAATTTATAACTCGTGTTTTACTACAAATGAAATATGGCGCGACAACAAATAAGCGTGGCCTTGTGGTGGCTGTTAATTATAATAAAATGTAAAAATGACCGATAAAATGGTAACACCGGTGGAACGGCGCAAGGCACGCATACTGAGCTATGGTAGAGCTAGAGACCATGCAACATGCTGGTACTGATACAGGGCTGTCAACTTGTAGTATATGATATAGCTAGAGTCCATGCAATATGCTGGTACTGATACAGGGCTGTCAACTTGTAGTATATGATATAGCTAGAGTCCATGCAATATGCTGGTACTAATACAGGGCTGTCAACGTGTAGTATATGGCAGAGCTACAGTCCATACAATATGCTGGTACCGATATACAGGGCTGTCAACTTGTAGTATATGGTAGAGCTAGAGTCCATGCAATATGTTGGTACTAATACAGGGCTGTCAACGTGTAGTATATGGCAGAGCTACAGTCCATACAATATGCTGGTACTAATACAGGGCTGTCAACGTGTAGTATAAGGTAGAGCTAGAGTCCATGCAACATGCTGGTACTAACACAGGGCTGTCAACGTGTAGTATATGGTAGAACTAGAGTCCATGCAATATGCTGGTACTAATACAGGGCTGTCAACGTGTAGTATATGGTAGAGCTAGAGTCCATGCAATATGTTGGTACTAATACAGGGCTGTCAACGTGTAGTATATAGTAGAGCTAGAGTCCATGCAATATGCTGGTACCCATATACAGGGCTGTCAACGTGTAGTATATGGTATATCAAAATATAATATTTCTATGTATATTTAACGCTACGTTAAAAAATGGAAGTATTTAAATATACATAATATAATAAACTGTGTGAACAAAACCGTTGCAAAAGCTAGTGTTATCAAATAACTGACAATGTACGCCGCGCCGCCCAGTTTGGTTTGCAGACTTTGTAACAACAACGAGGAATGCCGTAACTTTTATAACCATTTCCCAAACAGAGCACTCGTAAACTTAACACCTATTTAGTTCGAGTTATTTTTGGGACAAATTCGAGTCATTACAATATATCTATGTAGTAACAAAATCCCATAAATTCATGTGTGATTAAAAGCAAAAATAGAAACAATAATAGAATAAAAGTTATTCTATTATTGTTTCTATTATTATATCAGAGAAGAATGTGAGTTATCTAACTAAATTAAAAGCATTGTAATTTTTAACGAATTAAAAAAAGGAGATAACAGCCCGTTATATTTTTAAGGAGCTTTGTTTCTTTAACATCATTGTTAATTTGGACTGACATGATTCTTATTGTAATAACAAATCATCTATACATCTTAATATATAAATAAAATTAGAGTGTCTGTTTGTAATATTGAAATAATCGTTTTTTACTACATGCATATGAATATAAATACGGTACATATACCAAAATAACTTTTTTACAATTTTTGTCTGTCTGTCTGTCTGTCTGTTCTGACTGGACCGATTTTCACGGGACAATTTTGGCAGGTAGCTGATGTAATAAGGAGTAACTCAGGCTACTTTTATTTTAGAAAAATAAAGTTAAATTCGTCATCATGATAAGTTTTCGGTGAATTTCCCACGATGAACTAACTGACCTGACCTCCTGCTCATCTTGTCATCCTCCACTGGTGCCAGTGTAAACCGTAAGCGCTGGCGGGTGCACCATTCCATTAACATATATAAAAAAATTGTAGGTCAGTAATTAATGCTAATTCGTTACAGGTAAAAGCGACTGCTCCCAAAATGGATCGCAACGGCTACTTCTTCTACGTCACATCAACAGCTAAGAAAAAGAAGATAAGTCTGATGCAACCGAAACCACCCCGGGTTGCCTTCGTTGACGAGAAGCGACCCGGGTACGTCGAAAGGGTCCAAAGTTACGGCAGTATCGCCCCAACCTCGGCGGAGCACGAACGTGTCGATATGTCGATCCGAGGGGCATTTCCTGAGCCACGCGCGCGTTTATACTCGCAGTTAGAAAGTTATCAGCCGAGGTATCATACGATACGTGATAGTGATAAGAGAGTGGAGAGTGAGTGTAGAAGGAGGAAACGAGAGCAGAGGATTAACCCGGCAGTTTTGAGGTGAGTGCGCTATATTTGTAAACAAGACCGATGAAAGTACGTAACTATGTGTATTTACTGTTATTTTTCTTTTTAGTGTAAATAACTTCTTCGTGTTTTATCCTTGTAATATTGACCAGGATTTCTTATAGTATTATATGAAAGAAATATAGATTATTTTAGGGGCAAAATAATCAACACATTTCTTAATAAATCCCAATCATAATAATAGAACTGTGGACTCCCGTTATACAGGTTATAGTGCGGGGTCCACGGTATCAAACTTTGTGTTTTAAAATAAATACACAAATAAATAATAAAAAAAATTACTAATCATGCTTACTACGTACAAATACAATTATAATTGTAAAATTAATGAAATTAAATATTTATTTATTTACCAAGTTATTATCTATATATTAAACTATTTGTCCACGTGACTGATTGACTGAGTCGACAAGTCAATAGTAGGGACTACTGAAATCTCTCTCATTTTAGAGATATATATAATTGGAGTATCTGTTTGTAATATTGAAATAACCGTTTGTTACTACATGCATATGAATATAAATACGGTATATACATCAAAATAACATTTATTACAATTTTTGTATGTCTGTCTATCTGTTTGTTTGTTCCGGCTTATCTCTGAAATGGCTGGACCGATTTTGACGGGACTTTTTTTGGCAGGTATCTGATGTAATAAAGAGTAACTTAGAGTAACTTTTATTTTGGAAAAATACAGTTAAATTCCAACTCTTACCGTAATGTATCTCCTGAACCGATTAAACATTTGGTAAACTTTTTTCTTTGACCTTTTTGGGTTACATTATTAAACATTTTATTCTATCCAAGAGTGACCTTTATTCCACGCGAAAGAACTCGCGGGCACAGCTAGTCTTATTTACATAATATTATAAACGCGAAAGTTTGTGAGTATGGATGGATGTTTGTTACTCTTTCACGCAAAAACTACTCAACGGATTTTAATGAAACTTTACAGTAATATAGCTTATACATCAGAATAACAAATAGGCTATAAATTAACAAACATGTTTTTTAATGCATAGATAATAATTATGTAGGACCGTGTATAGAGCGCTGGGTTCGGTGCAGCCAACGATGGTGATAATTAAAGGCGCAATATGTAAATGTAATAGTATATTATAAAATATATGTCGCAATAAATTATATGAGAGCAATAGCAATAATAAAACCAAAGCAACCAATATAAAATATAAATATTAAAAAATAAGGAATTGTCGTACCTACCAGCGGCCCGATTGGAAGTAGTCATATACAATAGTAATAAATGCACTAACTTAAAAAAAAAATATCCAATCTCATTTTAGTTTATATAAAAAGAAATACTAGTCATTTCCTATGATTTCATAGTATTTTTTTTTATAGAAACGTACATTTTTAATATAAAACAAAAGCCTATGTACATCCTTATCATAAAATCCTACATAATTTCTATTTTCTGTAACATCTATATAGCAGTTTAAACGGTAAAGATTAACAAACTGACAGATATACGTTTGTATTTATATTAGTATGTATGGTAGGACCTGTTCGTAATTTTGTTTGTATGTCATCCATATTAGGATAAAGAGGATTATGTATTCTAAATCATACAATATCATACCAATCAGAATGTTAGGCGACTGTTTTGGTGCGATCTTTAACTTTTTTTTAATAGATACCAATATAATAATTTAGTGTTAAAACCACAAGGCCCTAAGGGTAACCAAAACACTACATAAGGTTTATTGGTCGGTTTCAAATAAAGGTTTTTTTTTCGGACTACTCTAATGCTGTTGGCCGCAGCTGGCCTTTACAGCTTCACTGGACGATAGAGGTAAATTCCCCACGATGAACTATCTGGCCTGACCTCTTGTTCACCCTATCTGCACTGGTGCCCCGCCAGCGTATAACGACAACAATTACATTATCATTAAAAAAAATACATACACAAAAAGAACCACTCAATGCAAACACTTATACTAATGAATACAAATGATTATAACGTGTGAGGAATCGAACCTGTGACTATCGGAAGTAAGGCGGTGTACTATAATTGCTAGACTACCGAGGCATATTTAGATTAACGAATTAAGACGACAATTTTTTTATAGATGATAATGGAATGGTGCACCCGCTTACTTTAAAAAGTATATATTGGTGGGGTCATTCTTCACTGGTGTCCCACCAGTGGAGAATGACAGGATGAGCATGAAGTCAGGTCAGATCAGGTTAGCAGTTAGATAGTGGCGAAAACACCAAGAATGGTTACCAGGATATCAACCTTACCCTGGAAACCATCTTTATCTGGTAATGAAAGACGACCTCGGTGATCTAGCGGTCTAGCACACCGCTTTACGCCCGATGATCGCGGGTTCGATTCCTCGCACGGCACAAACATTTGTATTCATGATTATGATTGTTTGTATCGGTCTGTGTATTTTCTATGTATAATATGTATGTATTTACGAAAAAAAATCTATGTATTTGTATCAGTTGTCTAGTACTCATAACACAAGCTTTAGCTAGCTTAACTTGGGTCTAGATGGCGCTGTGTGAATTGTCCTGAGATTATTATTATTATTATTATTAAATAGTGCCCTCTCTCTCCCCCTTTTATATATATATTTTTGGTGCCACTGTAAACCAGCTGTATGTTCACATAGGACATACATGAAAGCTGAGTGGAGCGATTTCAGTACATATATGGATGTAAAAAATGATTATTTTATGTTTATTTTTAATTATCTACACGGTAAATTAAGTTTAATTATATGTACATTTTATTTCTTTTAGCAACTGGTTCTGATTACCAATAATCCTCTTCCCTTGGGTACATCAAGTTTATAAGATGACCGTAGATGGAGTAGCTATTGAACATATCATAGTAATGAGAGTGCCCTTCTGTATGGTTACTGTTGTACTATACATGTACATATAAATGTACAAACAGACAAGCCTACCGTTTAATATATACAGTTGCATTATATATTCGGACTAGTTGTCGCCTCTGTCTTCGTCTACTTATTTTGAGATTAAAGATTTGTGATTTATATCAATATTTTTCATATCAATATCAGAATGAAAGAAATTTATTGTCAACCAATAAAATACAACTATACATATAAAAAAAATTGGAGTGTCTGTTTGTAATATTGAAATAACTATTTTTTTTCTACACGCATTTATTTATTTATTTATTTATTTATATATATGAATATAAATACGGTACATGCACCTAAATAACACTTTTTAGATTTTTGTCTGTCCATCTGTCTGTCTGTTTGTTCCGGCTAATAAGTAGAATATAATGTGATAGAAAATTATTTATTCAAATAAACAAATACAAATCACTAACAAGCACTAATGCTGAAATAATATAATGAACAAAAATATGCTTCCTTTGACAATTCACACAGCGCCATCTAGTCCCAAGCTAAGGAGAACTTCTGTTATGTCTCGATATCATTCCGAACTGACGGTAGATTTGACATATCATAAGAGTCTGTAATAGACCTACATGAATAAAGATATTTTGATTTTTTTTTTGAATTTTTTATGGGTACAAGACAATTAAAATAAATACATAAAAAGCACCCAGATCGACACAAACAATCATACTCATGAATACAAATGTTTGTATCGTGCGAGGAATCGAACCCGCGACCATCAGAAGTAAAGGGGTGTGCCAAACCGCTAGTCCACTGAGACCGACCATAATTAAATATATACAAAATTCATAATAAACACGAAGCAATATTAATATGACATTTGATTCGTAGTGGCTGACCTACACGAACAGCCGTCCAGTTTATATTATTTGCGATATTCAACGTTAATTGCATTTGCATAAAACATGGCGATTAGTGATCGCTGAATATTTTGGCCGAATTCAATTTGCTGGAATGTATCCATTTATTTTCATAGAGTCGTGTTGATAGCAAAGCCTATTACTCACTAAACGATCACTTGAATGACGAACGTGCATGGCAATAGTTGTTCATGCACGGGATTTTCATTTAATATTACACATAGACACCTATATCAATATACACTGTAAATAAACTGACTTTAAAAAAAAAGTAATTCAATTATTTTACTTGCCAGTTTTCTAAATTGGATCTACTGAACTGAACGGTAGGGAAAAAAATATAATATAAAAAAAATTACGTTCATAAGCGGCTAAAGTGTCATACATGAATAAATGATTTTTGAATTTGAAATTGGTACCTACAACGTGTCTTTTCCGATGACTGCCCTTCAACCGTTTTCTGTTTTTACCCAACAGTTATTTGGTCTACAAACTAACTGTTGGGTAAAAACAGAAAGCGGTTAAGAAGAGAAGTTAAGACTCCAGGAAAGAGAAAATATGACTTTCTAGAAAGTCATACTTTCTCTTTCCTAGACAATTACACAGCGCCATCTAGTTCCACGGTAAGCAGAGCTTGTGTTATGGGTACTAGATATTTTGTTTGTAAATACATACATAATATACATTGCAAACACTCAGAACAATACAAACAATCATACTCATGAATACAAATGTTTACACCTTGCGAGGAATCGACTCCACGACCCTTGGAAATAAAGCTTATGACCCTATTTTTAATAGCAATTATATGACAAAACAACATTTGCGGGGTCAGCTAGTATCATTACATAGTATAAAACAAAGTCGCTGTCACTGTCTGTCCGTCCCTATGGATGCTTAAATCTTTAAAACAACGCAACGGATTTTGAAGCGGTTTTTTTTTTAGATAGAGTGATTGTAGAGTAAGGTTTCTATATATAATACATGTACACCCGGGCGATAAGCTCGAAGTCACTCAGAGAGCGATGAAGAGGGCTATGCTCGGAGTTTCTCTGCGTGATCGAATCAGAAATGAGGAGATCCGCAGAAGAACCAGAGTGACCGACATAGCCCGAAGAATTGCGACACTGAAGTGGCAATGGGCAGGGCACATAGCTCGTAGGACAGATGGCCGTTGGGGCAGTAA